ATATAACTGCCTAATCTATAAGATCTTACGTGGAAGTCACACCATCGACTACACCAACTCACTGTGTCGTATCAATTACCAATACATGATGTAGAACAAGGTTAGGCTAGAGAAAAAACAATATATTTAATATGAATAGAAGATATAAAGTAACATTCGGCAGAGACCACGACTGCATGGCCGAGCCATGCCACTCAATCAAACCCAGTCCATTCAATTCATTCTTCGCGCCTTCTCCATTGTTAGGTATTTCTCCGCGTTAAATATTGAATATCTATTTTCCGAGTTGTCTCATTTTCAGCTTTGAGGATTGTGTGGTTATGGTCCAATGCCACTACAAGTCTACATATCGATCTTAGTAGGGCCTTTGAAAGTGTATCACACAACCTTCTCCTTTCATAACTTTACTCATTTTGCATACGGCACACCCTTTTATCCTGATTCAAACATTTTTTACAATAAAATAGCCAAATCGTTTGCTTTCGATCTTTCTACCACAAGCCTATGATCTTGTCTGTAAACTGGCATGTCTCGTGAGAATGAATTATTAATATGTAGCCTGTAGGATTATAGAAGAGAGTGTTATTTTGCCACTACTCACCCTCATTTTCATTATTGACCTGTGGTCACTTCCCCGATACGGTAAACCATTCCTTTCTGTTGGTGACCTAAAAGTGATTTACTCATTCTCTTCGCCTGCTAAAGAAAACCATATTTGCGCGGTAAACCAAGAAGACAAGACTACTTATACCAATGAACTGTCTTGTGATCTGTTAGTGCATGCTGACAAAAGTGGATTTATTTGCGTTGACGGCAGTCTTAACAGAAATCCGGTTCTGCAAAGACACATACGGAAACTTTTCAGCAATTAACGAGTTTGTTTTAAGGAATACCAACAGTGTGAACTTGTCCCAACACATTCCATCTCAAATATCCAAGCCAAGAAAGCTCATTAGTTCAGATTATCACCACACAACGTTACTGAATTATCTTTTAACTATTTTTGGGATGCATATATTACCGGTTATTCTTATTGTTTCTCACAAACATCATTATTGTACCACTTTCACAATTCACTTTTCTTTCTTTAACGACCGACATATGAATATTCGGTTCGAACGCAGAACTAACAAAATAAAGTTTTTCGATTAATTCAGACTACGTTATTCTGCATAGCGAATGAAGTGTTTTTGAATGATTCCTATTAAATTATTTTAAGGCACAAACTGTGTCCAATTTAAACGGCTCTAATTCAAGAAAGAGAATGAATTATATTGAAAGCGCGAAATACATCAAACGGTACAACCTGTTTCTGTAACACAAACTGAGGCGCTAAGCAACAAAAGGTTTAGTCAATAAACAAGAAGTAGGTACATGTGAATCAAAAAATATCTTCAGGAAGGCGGGATCACATATCTATCTATCAGCAACATTTCCAAGCCAACAGTCAAATGTTAATAGTCATACACTGAACCACACAGTGACCTTGAGTTTAGTCTAACACGACGTCATTGCCAAGATACACTAGAGTAAGAAGAGATCAATGTGCTGAAAAAAGGGTGAGATAGGTGTTATCATTCGGTTTAACGAAAGTATATTCTGCCGTTCGCCCATTTTTCCAGCTGGAAAAGGGCAGTCTATGAACGTATTATAAGTTTGTCCACCTCCTCAAGCTGACCACTGTTGGGGCTTCGGTTAATTCAGTGACTTTCAAACATAGCCTTCCTACCCTTCTTATCAGTGATTAGACGCTACATAAAATTCAAAGCCCTTCTGTTTGTCCACCATTCAATAACATAAAAAAGTAATAGTTCGTAATTTAATCCCTCTAGTTCTTAGACCAGGTGTCCCAAGATATCATTGTGTGATAATTAGAAGTATTACAGGTTACGAACACAAGAAATAATCAAGAAGTACTAGATAAGCGCGAACGAATGTACTGTATTTGGAATTCGAAATTAGGCATTCAACAAGTACAAAGGAATCATTAGTTCATACAAGCACCACATCCGCTACAGCTTAAATTTGAGTCTAAGTTGCCGTCTTCTCTTTATGTTCATCCTATGTCTGTTTGACAGTATATTGGACATAGTCTCTGTACGATCTAGGATGTACTCATTAGTATAAGAATTAGCAACTGCAATTGGAACGGACTCACCTGGGTCCTGGAATTGTGTATAATCATCACTGAATTCTAGAATTTGAATCAAATACTTTCTAACACTATCCTCACCCACAAAATAACTTTGAATCTTCATATCCCCAAGTTACGAATGATGTGGCTTCATTTAAAACATATTTCACACATTGACTAGAGTATTCATTACAAGTGAATTCATGATAAGGATAAACAACAGTTGATATGAAATCATCCGAATTGTAATCAAAGTCGAGCACATTTAGTGCTCGTGCTTCGCATTGAACAAGTGTCTCACAAGAAACAAATACATTACGAGGATAAGTAACATATGAAATGACATCAGGATTCGATTCTTTTGAAAATAATTCCTCAAATTTAATAAGAATATCAGCAAACAGTAATGGGTCATTAGAAAAATCAGCATCGATAAAGACTGTATCGGATTTTCGATCATAATTAGATTCACTCAACATATTTTCCCCAGATTTATAGGAAATTTCATCAGAAATATGTCAATCATTAGGACAAACCATATGATACAATAACATGAGAGATCTGATAAGTTGGTTGATTAGAAACTTTCGTATCACAATGTATCTGAGTTTCATTTAACTCTGGACTGCTATGTGACTGTATAACACTTTTCGAAGTCTTGGATAAAGATAAATGATCATTAGAAACACCCAACTTAATAGGATCGAAATTACAAATTTTAGCATTAGTTGAGGCGGAATAAACCGTAGTATTACAAACTGACTAAATGTGTCCAATATCACCACATTCAAAGCATTTAGAATTACGAAATACACATGAATCAAGTGAGTGAAACCGGCCACAAGACAAACATTGACCAAAATTGTGCCCATCTTCGTGAACTGCATCTCAACTCAATGATTTATGTACTTAATCTTGAGTACGCACCGGGTTGAGATGACGTAGTAATGCGGTGGAATTTTCGATGTTCTGATCAATAATTTTACGAAATTTTCCTCCTTTACCTCATTCGAAATTTGTATGCTTAACATAGTCTAGTAGTGGTTCTTTACTGGTAAAGCCAGAGTTTTTAAGAAGCCGTATGCTTCTTTTCCGATGAATGTGAAGAAATATGTCATAATATTAATATCGTCAACGTCTTTCTTGGTCATAACCCAGATTTCGAACCTTTCCAGGTAATTCTCAAAAGCATCAAAATCTGAATGTATGTTTAAGCGTTCCATCACATGCTTCATTGCTCCAATGCAATAGTTAGGAGTATTTGAATTATAGTACAAACTAGGAATCCCAGCAATAACGCGCAAACGAATGTGCTGTACTTGGAATTCGAAATCAAGCATTCAACAAGTACAAAGGAATCATATAGACACCACACTGCCAGGCAATTGATTCGTTTCCAATTATTGTAGCACAGATCGTTGTAACTAGTAGCATTCTCTCATGCAATACTGATTTGACAGCGTCAACATGTTCTGGTCTCTTGAGTTCAACATATTTGGAACCACAGGCGTCTTGTTTATAAACATTTATATTTAGCCATCTACTATTTATTTTTAGGTAACGGATAAGAGTTCTCCCTACCTTCTAATGGCCACAATATTTCTTAACGCCCAAAGACGTTCTCAAATAATTTTCACTAACTAGGCAGTGCTTACATGGTTTCTATGCCGTTATGCAACTATGTCACTGACCCTACCTTATGAACAGATCCTAATAACCCAGACAGCACTTGACTATTGCATTTTTTTTACCTTAATAACAACACCATTCTCGCCATAGGTTACTGTGACCTTCAGTACATATGTTTCTTATATTTATGTCCTTATAACTCACCATCTATGCATCTCGTGCTTGGTTGTGTGTATCTGTATACCTATCGTTTTGCTCAATGTCCTTCATCTTGTCACACTATGTATATCTATTTTGAATTATACCAAGGCTTGTTATACCATTCGCACAATCAGGGTGCATCAGTTTCGGATCTCAAAATTCCGAGTGGATTAGGGGAAATTCCTTGCATTCCCTTTGATTTGGGGCTATTCTTCAAAATTTCACTAAGCTCCGGGGAAATTTGTGAACTTCTATATGACTTCGAGGAAACTCCCCAAACTTTCACGAAATTATTTGAAATTTCCCACAAATCGGAGTCTTTTATACAGGTTAGTATACATGACCAGTTATTAGTATCGATTGTACCAGTAAGTTATGAGTACTAATCAATATGACATTACTATAATACATGTGAGCGTTAATCAGATGACTGATAGAATAGTAATTTAACATGTAAATAACCGACCGAAAAAGTTAGAGTTAAAATAAGGATTAATATAAGGTTGCGTTTCTTTAGTCGGGCTTACCAACGTAGAAGTATGGTCTACTTCGTTATAAGTAATGCTCTAATAATAGACCTGGTCTTAAAACTGTCGATTTGTCATGATGTAACTGGCTAATCTATGACATCTTACATGGAAGTCAAATCGCTGTCTACGCTGGCTCATCGTGTTATAACAATCTCGAAAATATGAAGATTGAGCTACTGGGATACTCCAGGATATGACTTTTTTGAATGCTTATGAAACCTCATATATCCAGGGGGAAGAAAGAAAAACACAAAATAATGAAATCTAAGTAATACATGGTACCGTTTTCAGTGATGAAGAGCATCCACTTCCTCAAGATTTTTCTGTTTTCTCAGATTCGTCTGTATGTAATGCTAGTATGTTACTTAGCGCATCTGATAATTACGTCTGGTGACTGAAGCGTTAGTTTAAAGTGGTGACATACTTCAATTCTATCCCATTTGATTGTAAATGAACCCGTTAGTCATAATTGTTTGTTCTTTCTACTGCAAGTTGTATGGCGCCTTACATTTTCGGCGGCTAGCTTAAGGTTGTTGGGTATTGGATATTGTGTGGTTGTGAACTGTCCGAGTGTCAGTAACGCTTGATTGTATCCTGCTAAATAAAATGCCGGATAGCAATGTTGCTAACGGAGTCGTGTTGTCAGATAAACCAGACAAGTTTATTGATAAAATCGGTCAGTTAGTTTGCATCCATCTAGCTTGCTTTAGATCCTGAGGATCCAGAGTATCAGAAAAGTTTAATGCGCCCTGCTTGCATAAAAGAAGATGTAAATCTGATGATTCAACGACAGCGCGTGTCCGGCATACTGAAGTCGGATGCTTTTCGACGAGAACTGGAGGAGGTTATACGTTCTCAGTGTCCATCTGGTGACTATCCTGGCATGAGCACTAGTCTTCTGTCTCTGCAACACATATCAGATTTATTCAATTCTGCCCCCTCTGGAAAACCTCTTGGTGGGGGTGGATTTGCAAGAGGCAGGTCAACGTTTTTTCTTGCGTGTATATAATTCTCATAATGTGCTATTCTAGCAATCCCGTGCATTCTCTGAGTTGATCAAAATAGTGTCGCACATTGTTGACCGTTATTCTCAAAAAGCCATATGTGATATTCTTCCTTTACGTTTAACCAATCTGTCCATATGATATCGGTCTTTTAAACTAACCTCTCAAATATCACTTCTCGAACTTAGTTTCACAGTGAATATATCCATTATCGAGCTGTTCAGTATGCCATCAGTGACTTTGGAATAAAACTTTTAAATAACCAAAACCTTACTTTATATGACTATGTTAAGTGTCGTCTCTTTAAGGTCAGCAAGAGCTTTTTATTTCTCGATGAGCGAATTGCTGGTTATAAGCTTTTTGAGTCCTTATGAGAGAAAATTAGTCAGATTTAAGACATCTTAATGTTTTCAACGCGGTTTGTCAGAATACTATCAGAAAATTGCCTTTAAGCGAGAACTTTCAGTGTATAATTTGCTTTCTTAGTGAGTCGTCTATCATTTCAGGTTCCCAGATCAAATAGTATGTCTAGAGGTGGCGAGACTAATTTATGGACGAACCAATCAGGTATAAGACAACAGATCTCTGATTTTGGCACGAAATTCACTCATCCATTTGGATAAATTGAGTTTTGGCATTATAGCTGGTGTCAGTTCGGAATGAAAACCCTAAATCTAATTCCCAATCTCAACCATCAACTGCAAGTTATAATTCTATTTCCTGAAACTGATTTATAACCCTCCTTTGGTCCTGATTATTAGGCGGACACTCTGAAAGTCACCACAATTGATTGATCACTGGGTGGTGATCAATGTCATGTTTGTCTAGTCCTTATTAGTGCAGATCGAATGCTATCGATCATGTTGCAATGTGGCCACCAGTCTAGGTGACTCGACACTGCGGACACTATGTATTGAGATTTAGATGGTGGTTGGAGGTAGTCAGGGTTTCTTGTTGACTACCTCCAACCACAATCTAACTCTGAAAGTCACTTCAGCGTTGCTCAACGGCCGTCCATAAATTCTAGTCTCACCCTAGAGGTTACTTCCAATCACATACACCTTTTAGTAATGACGTCTTACCTCGTTAAATATTTGATGTCTTGGTACCAGAATTCTATCTTTGCTGCTGTCTTCGTTCACGAATTCTGATGTTTAAAAACCGATACATAAATCTTCATTGGTAAGCGTTTTCAATGCTGACAACAGGCTTTGTGGATGATTTCTCTTGAAAAATAGATGAAAAGAGTAACATCTGTGGAGTAAATACACTTGTAATACTTACTATCATAACTGGATAAATAAAGCACTTCAGTACCTACAAAAACGTATTTCCTAAATGCTTCTAGATGCAACTGTCTTGTATCTTTCTGCATCATGTTTCTACCTTATTCTTCACAGGTTTTAGTATTTTTCAACTCTTTTTTCAATACTGTTAGACCTTACGACTCAAAATTTTTCGTGATTTCTTGAGTTTTGAGATCTGAACATCTAAAAGCATTCACTTATTGAAACACCTTAATCCCTGGTTTCAAAGTGCTTCTTATACTTCTACATACTACATAAAATTTGGAATCGAAAAGAAACAAGTTAACATATTTCAGCGTAAAATTGCAGCAAACTAAATTTCCCGCTAGATTCCTGGTCGCTAAACTTTTAATTTCCAAGTTGACTAACTCCCCTCCGGTTTAGACCTTAAGCATGATCACTACATTTAGTGGTTACATACATTAAGGATCTGCTCAAATCTAAATGTATTTTAAAGAGATTCAAACCTGCTACCTCACTGAAGTTCTCATGTTCACATAACAGTCCTGGGTTACACTAATCACGCTTCATCTATTCTATACTAGTGTGATGATGAGTACATCAATGCAGTCCTCACAAGATGCCAACCAAGACCGACCAAAATTCAGCCAAACACCAACAACAGGATGGTCCAATCCACTTTCACTATGATTAGTTTCGCACTATGGTCATTTACAATGTTCCACTTTTAATCTTAGTATTTTCTTTACGCTGTGCTGATGTGAGGTACTGCAAACTGTATAAACGGATAAAAGTCCGTTTTACATTCTCTCCAGATCTATGTGCAACACGATAAACAGACCTTAGTTTACTTTATTTGACTAAGTAATTCATCTTTTTTTCTAAATTCAAAGGATTCCGTTGTTGCTTAGTTACATGGTATGTGCTTACATTTTGCTTCCTTGAATATATTTAGTTTATAAATTACTCTTATTTTTCATGTAACTTAAATTTATGCAGGGCATCGTAATGGTGTTATTCCGATAAATGACTTGCGTGGTGGTGACGCGACTGTTTATTCTCGACGTGAACGTTCTCTCCGTTGCAAACTAGCATCGGTATATCGCTTAATAGATCTTTTCGGATGGAATTCGAGTATATACAATCATGTGACTGTAAGTAACTTTTATTCTTTCAGCTCCCAAACTTGGTAAACGGCCAATCAGCAACCATCTAAAAGTAATCATTAGCATTATTAAGTACCTATTTCTGTTCACTTTCCCATGAACCAAACATTCCTTCGGAGCATAAATAGAGGTTCTAGGCACATTAACGTCTACCATATGTTCACACCTTCTAAATCTATTCTCACTATAACTCTATATCTTTCAATAGTTTTGTCGTCGAAGTTGTTCAAACCGAATAACATTCGAAAATTTTACTTTTATCTATTTGCTTTATTTACTTAAATAGGCTAGTCCTTTATTGAGATAAAATATAATAGTGATGTTCGTAGATCAAGAGACTTGGGGATCGATTTTAGTTAAATTGAAATGTAGGTGTTTAATGTAGACTACTGAAAAAAATAAAGCACAGTAGTGTATCTTTAAAACTGATCCTTTATACTATTTCAAGTCATACCTAATAGCAGAAAATTGCACGACCTTTAAAACATTCGGAGCTGTTTTGCTACTCCACCACAAACTGATTAGTCCCCAACTCCTTCCAATGCCAGCGGTAATATATAATGTTAGGTATGTAGGTCTCTGTGATGTCATACGTCAAGGTGTTTCAAAACCCCCTAGTTCAGTGTTCTTAAACGGTGTCTGAATAATAACCTTCGTTCTCAAAAAGACATTCTCATCAGTATTACTCACGCAATATTACTACCAAATGCAATATCGACGTAGTCAAACTTAAAGAGACTTAGAATACCTTCAATATGAAGTGGCCAGGTTTGAAAGTGTAATATTAGACTAGATACAATAAGTGTTGTACCCCTGACTTTCTCTAGTCAGGCTATTGGAAGAACGGGGCTAAAGGTAACACAGAAGTGTATAAAGTGCTTTTGCTTTGATATATGAAGATTAATCTCATCTGTCGCACCACTTCTAGTACTCATAACAAGCCAACGGACTACTTTTATTTCTTTTCATAAAGTGTCAGCGGAGTCTAGTTTGCGAAATTTGAGACTTAAATAATAGTAATAATAATACTATCTTTTAAGCAACCGCAACAAAAACTCTGAGTTACAAACTTATGCTTAAACATAGTTTTATTCATTGAATTCCTGAGCCCTACCATAGATGTGTATTTTGCTGGATCTTTGGGGGAACATTTCTTATTGTTTCCCTTTTATTTATTTTAGGTGTGTGTTAGTCGCAATCATGAACATTATTTGGTTAATCCTTTCGGATTGCTTTATCATGAAATTACTGCTTCGTCTCTCATCAAGGTCGATTCCAAAGGTGAGCTACGGTAGTATGATTATAAACGTCAATTAATCTGAATTTTCTGGATGTTTCTATTCCGACTATACCCTAGGAACTTTCTCCTTTGATCACTGAATTCTAATGAATTTCTATTTAGTAAATATTGCTAGACGGTTTCTAACGATTTTTCATTAGATTGGTAAAATTCAAAGCACTGATCTTTTTGATTTTCCATTTGTTACCTTAAATGGTGTAACTAAACATTAAATAACTAAACGCTCATTATTATTTAACAAGAACTCAGCAAAATAAACTACCTATAAATATATATATCAGTGATTTGTTCGGTTGTTTGAGAAAGCCGAAGTATGCTGGAAAATACCACAAGTCTAGTAGCTCAATATCAAGCCAATAGAATTAGTCAGTTTTAAGCATTCTGACATGCATGATGATTCCTGCAACAAACCTGGTCAGTATGTACGTGTTGTAGTTTGATTACTATTTGCTTTATTCTACTCAGTGTCACTATTTGGGTAATGGAATGGTAGTGAGTTCACAATCATACCTTGGTTTTCTGAAATTTTGGATTATAATTACTGCTTTTGATAGACGTACATAATCCCTGTTTTTTTGACTTTTACACACTAATGAGATTTTACGTTCAGTTTCCGGTAACCCAGACTTTGTCGATGTGATTGGGAGTAAGTCGTTTAAGAGACTGGTGATTTGAATGGATGTGATTGGAATGGAAAGTTTACTGGGAACTCAGGAGTTCATGGAATATATGGGTTATTAAACAATACAAAGATTTTCACGCAATGAAATTGTGCAAAGCTTGTGTAAGGACCGAGAAACCTTGCTATCGGAGCGTGCTAACGAGTTGGAAACAGCTTCTCCCAGTAACTGCCGGGAGCTCTTTCAACTTATCCAAATCACTAGAAGCAAAATGTTTGATGTGTAAAATAATCTGTGAAGCTGATGGGATGCCAGTTAATAACATCTACCGACGTCTTAGACAGTAAGCAGAGTTTTCTGAGGAGTAGTTCAACTGGTTTGCTACCCCGGCGACCGATCAGTTTGTCATGCCCTCCATGGACTGTGACGACTGATCCACTTAACGCGGTTAAAGTCCTCAAGGAACTCCAACTCCTGAAGCACTACAAATCACCAGGTCCATTTTACTTACCTCTAGCCCTTTTTAAATATGGTAGTGACTTTCTGGTTAAGGAACGGACTGAGTTGTTTACAAAAGTTTGGCAGTTAGTGGTACAACATTGTGGAATGAGCTCATATTTGTTCCTATCTTTAAAGAAGGTTCGCGTCGTTTCCGCAACAACTATCTGGGGATAGGTCTACTTCCGATCGCGTCCAAACTATTGGCTTTCCTCATACTTCGTAGATTGTTCAAAACCTGGGAAAGAATGACTCGTGAGGAACAGGCTGGTTTTCGTTTTGGTCGAGGGTCATTGATCATATAGTCACCCCTCGACAAATGCTAGAACACCGCCATACTAATTCCAGGCCAACAACTGTTGTGTTTCTTGACATTAGGGCCGCTGTCGATTTGTTGGGCAGGACTTCTCTGAGATTGTTTATTGAAAGTGTTCCTGAGTTTATTAGTAGCTTGAATGCCCCATAATACAAATACCTCAGGCAGAGTGAAGGATGTACAACCACCTTTCTCTTTTGTTTCATCAGGCAGTGGGGTTACATAGGGTTACCCAGTCTCACTATTCCTTTTCGAGACTTTTATTGATGACGTTTAGTGAACAGTTATTATGTAAATAGGTAATGGTATTGTGGATCTGATACCTGGGGAAAGACTTCGACCGCGAACATGCAGATGATTTTGCCTTGCTGTGCGATGATACTCAAACCATGCAACCCACACTTAATCAGTTAGAAATCAGTGTCCGTAGGTATAGTATGTACTTTGAACTTTCTAGGTGTATAGTAATTTTGTAAGAATGGTAGGACCCTGATCCTGCACTCACCCTGGGTGGTGATCAGATAGAAGAAGTCGATAAATTCATGTATCTGGGTAGCTGCGTAAACGCTTGTGGTGACATGAGTCATGAGATCAGTCCATGTACAATGAGAGTCAGACCAGCTTATGCTAACCTGATCCATCTTCGGTGCCTTCATAATATTATTCTGGTTGTAGAAGATCGGATTTACCACGCGTTTGTGAGAGTTTTGCTCCATGCTCGTGAAATTCGGCCTCTCCAAGTTGAGGATGTTAGACAACTCTCTGTTTGATTATTGTTGCCTCCGAAGGATAGCTGACATCCAGTGGCATTACCATGTTAGTAATGCAGAGGTTTGGCAACGTGTGTTTAGACATAGCGACGATAATTTAATTGGTGTCACCATTTCAAAACACCGACTTTGGTCGCTTGGACAGGTCTCACGAATGTCGTCCCAGCGAATTCTACATCGTGCATCATTTGCCGACACTGGGACCGATTGTAAAAAGGGGAGATATGGTCAGTGTATGACATAGCGTCATAGCATGAAAGAAAGCTGTACAGGACTGGTTTCTTTTGGTCCTTCACAACTCCCTAATTGGGGTCTCAGAGATGGTGCAACACAGTCAATAGAAACGTTCACAGAAATGGCTCAGAATAAAAGCCAGTGGCGATCTCTCTGTAACTTACCTTTTTCATACAAGTGAACGTAAGTTCTCTAACTGAGAGAATTCTTCCTGGTTGTATTTTCGTTAACTGAACTGTCTCTCATTATTATTTTTTCACTCGCATACACTAATTTCTGTTCATTGTTGTTTTTCTTTTTTCTTATACACACATTACCTTCTCTATCCCTTCACAACCTTATTGTTATTATGTTTTTGGTGCCCTCTTGTATCGATGTTTATGTATTTAAATAATATAAACGATACAAAATGATTCCTTGCATTTCGCGCTTTCAGTAAATTAATAATCATTTTGGCTTATACGTAACCATACGTAATTATTTTTTCATTTCACAGGCCAGATACTTGATCCAGGATCTACCATTTTAGGTGTAAATCAAGTAACATGGGCCTTACATTCAGCTGTTCATTCAGCTCGGGCTGATATCCGATGCATTATACACTTGGATACCCCTTCTACTGTTGCAGTAAGGACTGTATTTTAAGGTTTATTTGTTAGTACATTGAATGACAAACAAATTTTACTGTTCTAACAATCTAGTCTTTGGCTTATTTTGAGAGGTTTTGTTATTCACTGAAGATCATAGGCTAGTGTTCAAATTTATTATCCAGTTTTGATGTTTCTTTTTTAACGTAATTACTTTTAATAAGGACTAAGGGATTTTGTAACCTTTAGCTACTACGGTTTTGATACAATGCCCAAAGATTAGGCCTGACAGTCAGGCCATAATTGATCGGAGAATGAGTGACCTACAAGCTAATTTCCTTCAAGAGCCTATGACATTTTGTTGTGTTTAGTTTATGTTCATATTTTGTACCTAAGCTTGTTATGTATTAAATGAAAAACCATTCACCTGGCCAGTTGTCTTGTCTTTGATTTCTAACCATTCCAAGGGCCTGAGTTCACTACACAGTCCCATGAGTAGCCATCACTTGGTCCTATCATTGCGATCATCTATCGATTAGCATTCCATTAATCGGTTTTAATAATCAATTCGGAAAACTGACTCTATAACAGGCATACACTACATTGTGTTCGTTGGTAAATAATTAGTATTTCAACCACGTCCAATTCGAAGGAAATAACAAAACTTCGAAAATTGGTATTGTTTTCCAATCCGAAAAGAACAAATGAATATAATTAGCATCTTACAATTTAATAATTTTCCTATGAAGATTATTAGAAGCATATTAAAACAAAACAGTTTATTACATTATAATAATGATTCGAATGAAATGCCTTGGATTGGCACTGTAGTCCTACCATACCGTCATGGCACAACAGAAGAAATTCAAAGAATCTTAAAACATCACAGAATTAAAGTGTATTACAAAACAACGAACGCACTGCATAATACTTTAGTTCGCCTGAAAGAAAAAATCCCTTTCGTGTCCACACAGAACTGCGTCTACAAATTAGGTTGTATCGATTGTGATGCCTATTATATTGGAGAGTCATTCCGCGAAATCGTGACTAGAGCCAAAGAACATATTAGGTACACAAAGAAACCTCCTAACAATCCGGTAGAATTGAACCAACTTCAAATTAAATCGGCAATAGCAGTTCATGCCATTTTCAACAACCACCAAATCGATTTTTAAAAAAAATCAAAATATTGCAAAAAGGCTTTTCCAACTACAAAGAAAGGAGGGTAGCCGAGGCATTCCATATAATGCTTAATCCTACTTCTCTCAATAGAAAAGAAGGCCTTACCATACATCCTACTTGGACCATCTATTCTAACCATTCAGTCGGATCGTATTTACAATTTCACACTTTCATATTGCAAATTTAAACTCTATCCTTTTTTACCATATAGGTCACACAATGCACACATACATACACACACAAATTTACATACTTATCACTTATGAATCACCTTGACAGAAATGACATGACATCAACTTGTTCAGACCTGTTTTTGATTGATCAAATATTATTCTTGCATTGTTCCGTTGTACTATTTAAACTTGGATCAATTTAATTTGGTTATTTATTCTCTGAAGAAGTGACTTACACTAAGCCACGAAACGTCAGAAAAATCCAATTTTCTACTCATTGGGATATTACAAATATATTATTTTTATTTATAATCCTCTTAAATGTTTATACATAGATATATAAAATAAGCTTTTGTTGTCACTAGACAGCAGACAAGTTGGTTTGTGCGTTTTAACTTTGATTTTGATGTATATTATTTAAAATACTTGATTCATTACTCTCAAGAGATTGAGAAGACCCTCAAAATATTTCTACTCAGTTTATTAGTGAGCATATTGTAAACCTAGATATATTTGTCTATCATCAAAAACAGAAATAAACTATTCAGAAAGAGTTAAGAATCGTGTTTCGAAATTAATCCACAATCGTTTTCTCAATGCTAAATGAATTAACTAAACCATATTTTTATTATACAACCTCATTATATTAAATGTTATGAATCCTTGTACTTTCTCTAGATATCTTGTATGAAATCGGGTTTGTTGCCTCTTTGTAATGAAGCAATGATTTTGGGCGAAGTGGCTTATTATACTCCTAGCGGTGGATTAAGCTGTAGAACTAACGCTGACGCTAACGGAGATTTCGGTGATATTAAAGATTGGGCAGCTGAATGTGCAACAGTCAGTGAAGCTTTAGGTCCAACTGCTCGTATATTATTTCTTCGAAGTCTTGGATTACTTGCCTTAGGTGAAACGATCGAGGAGGCATGGCATTATGCAACTAATGCAATAGTTGCATGTGATACTCAGGCAAGCATTTTTTATAGATTCTATTTGTGTGCAGATGCTCTTCTAGTTAGTATGCTATAATAGACTCATCAAATACACGTACCTATTGTAGTTCAAAAAATCTTTTTGTCTTTATGATAGTGGAATAGCGGTTATTATTTTTTATTCTCATTGAGATTCTAAAAACTTGAATCTTCTCGATAAAAACCAATTAATTAAAACCACTTCATACTTCATTTTTATCACGTCCTCTACTTGATTACGGCATAATACGATATACAACTAACATGTAGAACCCCACCGTCGCAAATCAGAAGACGGAAGAAACAAGGGGAGTGATTATTAGATAAGAATCGAAAATGTACAAAAGAAATAGGTATTTATAGCTATTGGTATTGGCTATAACATCATCATAATTCAGCCAATTCTCAAGGAGGCAAGTTGTGCTACCGTCCAATCGTAGCATGCCACGTTGACATTCTAGAAGGCTCTATCAGGTTCTGATTGGATGTAATCTCTTCAACTCCTTTAAAGCCTCTGGAGTCTTCGTCATGCTTATCAAAGCTATCTCAACAATTTCAACTCTAGGTATTTTTCTGATAAATTTCAAGGGGATTTAAGTTAAAACATTTAAATAAGGTGAATCTATGTGGGCATTTTCACGTTTAAGGTTGACTTTTTAAACTCTTCCTAACAGTAGAGTCACGTAATTGTTGGATACATATTATTCAAATGTTAGTTACTCCGAATAAAGTCTGCAGTGTACCAATATTCAACAAAACGTTTGTTTCAGGCGTTGTGTAACTTCATGGACTAGCTCACAAACATGTATATAGTTACTGAATTGTATGTATTCAGTCAGAAACTCATTTCTCTTCACACAAGAGCTAATATCCTTGGTTTTATCAACGTACAATCTATGTTTCTATCATTTATTTATTTCGGAAAGCACCCATCCCAATCAATGACCTAGAAACATTTTATCTACTCAGGAAACTATTCTGTTACAGGCGAGAAAAACATTTCATGAATGTATAAATAGCTGTTAATAATTATGTTATAGCCTTAAGCAAATCCTATTATTGTTAGTTTCAACGGTCCATGTAGTAGACCTATGTAATATCAGTTTGCCATCATCGACGTAAATTCTTGGAGAGATATGTGTTGGCTTGTGTTGTCATACAATGTTAGCACGATCAGATGTACTATTTATTATTTATTTATTTCAACACATAAATATTGGTACAAAGGGCACCAAACACATATGCACCACACAATTCACTTGATTTGTGTGTGTGGGCTGTGATACTGCCTGGGTGCCCAAACCGAAGCAGGTGGTTTTCTTAGGGGCCACGCCCGGAGCCTTCCACCTAAAGTTTTGATCCACTGGCGAGATGCTGCCCCATGATATCCGATGACCAACAATTGGTTCATACGCCATTTGTTCCCTCAGGATCCTAGATCCCATGCGCACCATTGGTTTGAAATCAGGGTTTTACAACTCTCCTAGGTGGACCCTCTGCGTCCACCAACCCGATTAAAGCGCCAGACATTCGTTTTTCGCCCTCTCAATTTCGAAAACAATAGCCCCGCCTCGAGAAGGCAATGAGTAGGACGTCCCTGGCAGGGGCTGTGTACTCGTGATCATGTGAGAGCATTTCGAGGGTGTGAGCTGGCTCTCCCCACCCTCGGCCGTACCAGGAAATTCGGGGGCTACCCAAACTGATCTAGATTCCAACCTGAGGTCTATTTAATGTAAATTTCTGGACTTAGTCATTGCACTTGGAGAAGTATAAATGAGATTAGCAAGATGAATAGCCAGAAAATAGGAATAATATGGTAGCAATATAAAGACTAATTGTATTAAGTAATTGCGATAAGATATTTGATGAAGTTCAATTTATTATGTAACTGTAAATTCCACCTCCCACATCTTTCACATAAGTTTTGGTGGATAGCTTTTCAGTAAACATAAGAGCTTTGGTGTGACCTTTTTAAATTAAGAAGTCAAGGTTGCTAAATGTACTTTTTAAGGTCACTGGCTTAATTGCTGGTTAACTTTTAACGACATTTGTATTAACTCTAGATAACATTTGCAAATTATAAAACAAATTCTTGTTTATAACATTGTTTTTATCACCTTATGTGATAATTGGTATTACAATTATCCGTTTTGACTCATTATATTCTGGGCACACTACTCGTTTCATAGTGCGAAGTTCTGTTATTTCACGTCTTATTTCTTGTAAATTCATTAATCAGTGAAAAAAGCCTTTCAACACACAGTAAGTTCAGTTTGTACAATATTGAAACATTCATATTGCATGTTGATCTAAGTGAGATTATAATATCATCAATTTAGTCTGTCATTTATTCCTTATCGCTAAAAACAACTAATGTGTACGTTTTAGCTCTTATTGGCCTCAGTCAGTACCGAAAATCTCATTCTCCCTACAGACAAACTAAAGCAAAAAACTTATGAAACATGGCGTACAGCTGGATTAGGCGGTCTTAGTGGTCCAGAAGCTGCACTAGCTATGCGACTATCTTCGCCTAATAAGTCTGGTACTAGTGAAGCAGGACAAAATTCAGTAACAAATGGTTTCATCTCAGATGGTTCAAATGTGGAAAGTAATTCGGCCAGGCCATGGCGCTTAGGTGAACTTGAATTCGAAGCTATGATGCGTCATTTAGATAACGCTGGGTGTCGTACAGGCCATCTTTATCGGCAGGTAATGTTAATTTTGTTTCATGTAATATCTGTTAATTGGGAATAAGATACTCTCACTAATTCTGAATCTAATGAAAATTTATCGACTCACATGATTGTCAAACTTTTCCCACTTATTTTTTTATTTTGTTTTAGCGTAATTTTCCTTTATGGTATTTGAATTTAATAAGTGTAACTCAAGATGATTGGAAGTTTAGTCAAATCAGGACGTGTATGATTGTACTGCCACATGGCTTTTTGATCTGTTGATGGGTAAAAAAGTCACAGAGCTTGTAAATGAGTAAAACTAGCGTTCAGAAAATTTCATCTTTAATCCCTCCTTTATCTATAACTATCCGACTTTGGTATCAACAAGTTTTACGTTCATGTTTGCATTACTTGTTATGTGCCTATAATGTAGTCATTGTTTTAACTATCTAATTATCACCCCCCTTTCCGTTAGTATCATCTGCGAATCCCATATTAGGGATATAATACAATGTAGATAGGGTTGTTATCGTATTAGTAATTAGTAGTCAGATATAGCCAACAATAGTATTTTAGAACCTATAAAGTGGTATAAATTTATCCTAACCTAATCCCGAGGAATTTCTTTTGCCTAATATTTCACATCACTAACTTTGTGTCAAGTTTTAATTGTTTGAATCTCTACTCATTGCTACTAATAACTCAGCTGACTGAATTGTTCTATTCATAACATCCTGTTGTATATACTGGGGTATAGTAACTAGGGCACATTTGTCCCATACTCTACATTATAACTGACATAGACATTGAAGTTGTCAGATCTACTACTGAATCTAAGTGTTCTTAGACAACTTACTACAGCAGTTAGCAGCAAAGGCAAGTCTAGATATTAGAGTAGTTTATATGAGTTTTACTGCAGCACATTTACAAGTAGCCAAGTCTGACAAGTGTTCTCGCACCAAAAAGAACATATATATCGGTAAAAATGTTACGTACTGGCTAAAACATAGTCCATTTAAATTGCTTTGCATCAAAATAAAACTGGTAAATAATCAAGAAGTAAAAAAATACAAAATTTCGAAGCAAAATGGGAAACGATAGAGTAATAATACTTATCGCAAGATAACAAATTAGCGCATCGGCAAATTTGCAACAGATATTCAGTCATTTCACTTAATAGCTCCAATCAATAATCTGTTGATTCGCGAACCTTAGTAAATCTGTCATTTTACATTCGCCAAATTAGTTGTCAATGACCTCATGGAATACTGTTTTATCTTTACTCGGTTCAGGTCAAGCTTTTCCAGTTTGCTCTCATCCGAAACGTTATCATTTACTATCAACAATAACCAGTACCAGTCGTGTGACTCTGTACCTATTTGGACCTACCGCAATTTGAAAGTGTTCTTAGATTAATTGCCATACACTCCCATCATACTTCAGATACTTGAAAACGTCGATAATTAAATAAGGAACTACATATAATGACAAATGTAATTCCATTTTGGCAATTAGGTTATTTTGTCGACCATAAATTATGAGACTTAAACCTCCAGTTTATGCTATTTCTATTATAATCATGCGATAACCTCTGATTTATTTAATTAATACCGGCTTGTGAACATTTTGCGGACTATTTTTTCAACATATTATTTCTAGGAGGCTATGGCGAGCCCACATCGATCACGAAGAAGTAAAGTCGTGAATGGACACGGTGGGGCTGGTCGTCAGGACGATGATATACAAGTTCCACCATCTGCTTCGTCTGTAACTGCTACAATGGCTTATTATTATGATGACGGAGTTCTTTCGGGCGATGAAACGGAAACACCTAGACCATCGTAAGTTTAGTTATCGTCTCTAATACCTCACTTTTCCTATTCATTTGATAACATTCATCGATACAACCTGTAGCCTTATCTCATGTTGGCAATTCACAGATGTTGAGGACAATCGATATCACAGTAAATACACTAATATCTATCTGTATTACCTAATTCTACAGTTTTCTGTAATCATTACTTAATGTCTTTAGACAACAGTATATCTTCAAATTTCTATCACTTGATCTTTCATTTCTCTTCTCACAACTCTAGATAAGGTGTAAATTCTTTTAATTTTTTCAGTTGTTGCGTAAATGAATCTCGTTTAATTTTTATGTTGATATTCAGTTAGATTATGATTAGCTCTACTGCTTAACGGATGTGTTTGTGCAACTGTGTTCATTTATGCACTATTATTGAAATAAAACTGCCAAAGCCGAATGATCTGAGTTTTTAGTGTTCGGTTGCTACTAACTTATCGACATTTGTCAGCAAATAGTTCCTATGTAATAAATAAACTACACAAAGTTATCGACCTTAAACAGCTGAGATTGCGAAAGCTTATCTTTGCCAAAACACCAGAATCAAGTCACATACATACCCATGTCCCAATTTATAACTTACACTTGAGTGGACAGACCCGACCGTGTTGCTACCTTGATATGGTGGTCGGCTTGCCTATCATGATGATCCAATCGAGCTATACTGGCTGGAACAACCGTTCCTCAAGGTCGTACCATGCCAGACAGGTAGGTTGAAGAGTGGTAAGACTGAAAGCAGCAAACCCAAGGAGAACCCGTACCGCTGACTGTACAGAGGTGTGACAGCAGTAAGGTGTTTCTTTCAGACAGTCAGCACGACAGCGATGCTGCCTTCCCACAAGGAGAGGTGGAGTTAGAATAGGGCGACCCTAAAAATGCACATCTCGCCTTATCCCACGGATATCCATCTCCGGCGGTAAGGTCTCAACAATTACTGAGCTAACACAAAAATTACTCATAAAAAGGTTGTGTGTGACCGACCCCAAGCAGTTGTCCCATAGGTGCTGCGGTCATGCTCTCAGGTCACTAAGTCCACCTCTAATCCAATTTCCTTTTCAGGCACCCCCAGGAGAACCCTTCCACAGTGTGGGCAACCGAGAAGTGAAAACCGCCCTCATACCTCTAACAGCACTCAAGACCACTGAGTGGACAGAAAATAGTATTGTAAAATTTTTACGATAGTTTTTTAAGGTTGGTTATATAGAGTATATATATAGTATATATATAGTAACAATGTTAAATATTTAAATTTATTTCAGAACTCTTAGGCGCGAGTTTTCGGAGAAGCAATGGTTTAACACACCAAACAAATACACTAAAGAAATAATTGAACCTGCTCCAGGCCATCAACCAGTTCCGCATTGGGTTTGTGAACGTGAAGCAGCTGTTCACAATGCTGTTTGTAATGGTGCTCTACCTCCTCCGGCACCATTTCATCCTTTAACTCATGGGGCAGTACCACTTGGTTCAACTGGTGGGCCGGCAACAGGGACTTCGTCAGTCATGTCACCCTACAATGTATTTGCTCCTCAAGGTTCTAATCCAAAAGAATATCGCGAGCAGCAAAAGAAAGTAAGCTGTATGGACTTTTAAAGTATCTCCATTTTGCACATAATGGTATCTATTCGAGTTTTGGGGTTTTATTTTCTGGTTATTACATACCTTTACGTCCAACTGATGAATCTATTTTTGAAATATGTCCTGAAAATAATTAATCCGGTGGTGATGAACTGTTTATTGGGCGTTGGACATACAATAATAAGTTGATTTTTGTTAATCAGTTCAATTCGAAATTCATTTATTCATTTACTTCGATTACCATGTCCAATATATGTTGAACGTCAACAACTAGACGTAACTCAACTGATGATGTTCAGCTACAGTATGAATAAAGAAACACACATTTTTGTTGATTTTTGCACTACATTAATTACTGGTTTAATTTTTTGCTTTGTTGATGTACTAACAATTGAAATTAATTATGATTTATACTCCGGAATCAGAATAAAAGTAGGACTCATTCAATAAACATAGCTTGCAGGTCAAGTGGTAGAATCCTGAGATTAGTAGTTTAAAATGATATGCAATAATTCTCTTCACAATTAATATTTTAATCCAGCTTTATCCATTATTCCAATACAATATTTCTTTATGTATTGGTGGTAATATTAACTCTCGCACTGACTAATGAGTATAAATCAAATGTACCAAATGTGTTTGTGCACAAGTTGAAACAGGAAAATGACAAATATTCCTTAAAACAAACATGCTTTTGTCATGAGACTTCGGAATTATGTACACATACAGTACTGAATGTATCAAATTATATTTGGTAGAGAAGCTATGACAAAAGTATTAATAATTAAGAATGTAACAAAAAAGGTTTACACACAAAAAAGTATCCGTCTAAACCACAATAATCTTGTCAACTTTAGTTAATTAGTCGCTAGGTAGGTAGGAGCAAGAGTATAATAAGCAATAATAATATGTGCTTGGTGTATCAATGATTTTGCTTCCTTGTTAGATTGGTTATTTTTAAATATTATTGGTTTTGTATCTAGCACAGATGATTTTATATTCGATGGGTCATACACTTAGTGTTTGTTGGCTTCAGTTGTTTCAGTTCTAATTACTTATCACCACTTCTCTACCCTATAATTAAAATTATATGAATTATCCTAAAATATTAATAGTATCCTGAATAGTTCACCTTTGAGCGTCAAATATACACTGGGACAGTAAACCCATATTCTCTATGATCTATGGTAGCGTTTTTCCATTGATAATTTTAGCACTGGGTATGTAATCATAGTAAACATTTATATACTTCTTTTTGATTAAGGTCAAGGCGAAGTATTATCATGATACAAATACTGCTGGACCTCAATCTCGACTGTTGGATGGTCTCACATGGGATGAAGCTCGACGAGTTCGTGACGAAGGTTTAGTCAAAGTTTTAGGTCCGAGAGCCGCCGCTCTAGTGGCCGGTGGTGTTACTAGTGAAATGCCTGTAGCTGCAGCTAGTAAGGCAATTATCCAACGTGATATACGAAATGCAGCAGTGATATATGATGTAAGCAATTTGTGTGTGTGTACTTTTTCTACATTCTGTCAATTTTAACTGGGGTGGAATGTTAAACGGTTATTACCATGTCAATGATACATCGGTATATATATATATATATATATATATATATATATATATATATATATATATATATTACTAGCTTTATGTTACTTTATTGTTTCTATATGTTGATTGGATCGAGTTTAACTATCACTTACGTTTGTGCGCTACTAATTAACATATTTTGTTTATTTCTGCGCATTGATTTCATTTCTATCAGGTCCGTAAGTTTCATTCTTTATTCATTTATTCTAGAGTAGTGTCCACGTAGTTCACGTAGATTTGTGCTCTTGAACTAGCGAAGTTGAACTTCTCAACAGCATAAGATAATTCAATTAATATAAACAAAGAAAAAATAGGGGGAATTATTGGCGTTTTTCATTTGTGTAAAGCTTGGTAATGTTTGTAAAAGTCAACTGTCATTTTTCACTTTTATTGACACGAACACTAACACAATAAAGAAAAATTTAACGATAGCACTTATGCAGATCCAGGTTGATACAGTCTGATACAAACCCATAATCATCTGATTGTTAAAAGGTAATTATTTGTAACCTCTGTTTAACCATTTGTCCACTTCGTTACATAAGTACGTCTCGATATGTGTGCTCTTGAATCATCAGTATTGTAAGCTTTAAAATGTCCATCATATTCTAACCGAAAATATAACGATACACCCCTGTTGTATTCAGTATTCATAAGTTTATGATTAAATGTCATTTCATATCATTAGCAAAATTTTTTCCCATGATTTCTTTAAAATTAGTAGATATTTTTTATTTTAGAAGGCATGCCAGTTAACTAAATTTCACTTCTTGAGTGGTTTATAAAATGTTTTATCTCTTCCTTCTAACTGCATAGTGGTAATTCATCTCTTTTGTACTCACAGGGTCTTTATTCTCATCAAAATCCATTCGAAAAAATTACCGATGAAGAATTAGAGATGTATCGACGTGAAATTGAACTTAAAAATAATCCTGATTTAGCTGCCGAGATGGATCAACATCTTACCGGACAGAATGCATCTTTTGAAGCACCTAGTTCTACTACACATCTTATAGATTCGTTAGCCGTCGATAGTGGTGCTACGGATCTTGAAAGTGCCAGCGAACTTGGTCCAAGTAATTGTTTTATTGGTTCTCTTTTCAAATTTAGGGGCACGAGTTTTTCTTCCATGAACATGCATAAAAAAGTATAAGTTAAGCGATCAAATCCATTCAGATTTTTGAAAATAAATTTCAGAAAAACCTTTGCGTCAGAATATTTATAGATATTTATTCTTTGCTTCTCTAAATTATTATAACATTTAGTAACATCTGTCTTAAATTTGTTTATTTAACAAACATCAGTCCTTAGCCTTTTCAAAATTGTTTGTTCAGTCAATCAAATTGATTACTTGAAGAAATGTGTAACATGTGAAAATTCCCTGAATTCCTATCAAGATTTATTCTCTTTCATTTAAACCAGTTTTTAACCAATAAAAATAATTAGGAATTTTTATGAAATTAGTGTAGTAAATGGTAGATGTTTCTTTTTGCTACCTTATTCAATCAATTATGATTTTTTTCTACACTGCAAGTGACCGGATAACCCCTTCTCCATAAAAAATATCTTGTTTACAAACGTGTTGTCAAGGTGTAAGTAAAGCTATCTTGTTAAACAATATTCATCCTACTCATGATGAGTTAGTTTTTACAGCTAAATTCATAGGTCCATCTAAGCTTGACAACAGTGTACGACTGTTTCGTTCTAGTATGGGACTCCTGAGCAGTGCACATCTGCGATCCTGCACGCGGGACTTGACCCCAGGATTCAATTGCCATAAGCCTTAACATATGAATAATTACTGTTCGTCGCTACATTTCGCTCTTTCTTCCCTAGCGTAAACTATGTAAACGATTTGTTTTATTTCATGTAGTGTTCTTTATATATAGTGACTTTTAAATAAAAAGATAAAGTTGATATTTTGATCCTTCATTTACATTAAACATCAATGGTTTAAGGGATTCTTTTTTGGTTTATTGTTACGCCATCATCGTATAACCCCTTTCCATGAATATAAATTTGCAACATGTCACCCCCCACCCGACAGCCGTTTAGGTTAAACATTTAAATCCATGTAAAATTATTACCTCATTTATTTGATATGTACATGAGAATGATTTTAAGCTTTGTGGTGTGTTATAAGTGCATGCTTGTAGCAGTTTCAATTATCACTTATTAATTATTTTATCTTTTTCATTTATAACGATAAATTCTTGTATATATATGACTTAAAATTAGCATGAAGATTGACTTATTTAATATTTGCTTCACATTTGAATAAAATTTTTAACGAATCTGTTTGGTTAACTGGCACGTGTTTCCGTTATTGATCTATATAATAATAAGATTATTGCATACGTTTACTATTGATAATAATTGTTCAATATGTGTATTACTGATCTGATGGTATACTTTTTGTTTTCTCTTTGTTTCTTCTTAACTCGTTTACCTGCTTGCCTGCATGCCATTCTCCTCTCCCAACCCCTCTAATTCTTCATTGTTCGTTCGTTCAATCGGAAATATAAATTTATTCATTTGCTGGTAATAATATATTCTACCGATTGGTGTGTATTTTATCCTTGGTGAAATGATTTCAGCTATTCATTCATTATCTGAATTATCTCCGTCTGTACATAATGCAAGAGTTGGAGAGATTCGTCATTCGGAGACGTACCCAATCGACAGTCCAGTTACTGGTCGGTTAAAAAATTCATACAATAATTTGTTTTTTTAATTTAGTGCTCTGCCACTTTCGTATATGTTACTAATACCATTGCTATTGTTATTATTAATATTATTGGTTATTGAAATTCCTTTACTTAATTTTGACGCTGGATATCACCTATCTGCATCTCTGTTACAGGTCGCTTAGCACCACCACCTACGTCAGGGACACTGACATCGGAACCGAGTGGAACTGAAGATATGAGTGAAAGTGATGTAAGCTAATTATTTTTACCCCTACCTACCACTGTTTCGTTTGGGTAGTTAGATTTTGTACAGTTGAATTACTTGAATTTTTGTGCCAATAATTTTCCGTTCTATTATTGTCACTTTTTTAGACTTAAAATGTTAATATTTGTCATTCCACATATAATAATGATAAAACGTTCTACTACAAATCGTTGAAAAAGGAATCGAGCCACTTTTCGTGACTTGAAGTTTTCGATTAGATGACATAAAGTTTGAAAATGACGGAATAGCTGTCATTTTTATTGCAATACTAAACTGATCTGTAAGCAGTCTGAATGAGCTCATAACCGTGTGTTGAAAGTAGATTAGTTGTCTAATCACCATTTCAATACATGAAATACGAGTAAATTCAACACTTATCTGAAGAATGTTCCATCGTTTAAGTCGTTTAATTTGTAGAAATGAATCCCCAGTTTTATATTATTATCTCGATATTAGTTTTTAACGAGACTGTTAACCCTAAACATCTAGTAAATAATAATGTACTCTATATTTGACTAACAAACAGAATTAGGGTGTAAAATTAAATACAGTGTGACACTTTGTTGTTAATTTATGGCTTATGCCGTACAACAACATGGTGTTCGAATGCAGTAACGTTAGTTTTTTTTCAAATAATTTTGAAGAATTATAAATTTCTAGTTTTGGAATGTATAGTTAGTACATGTTTAAAATCTTCTGATCATTGTATCTATCATAAAAAGAGGCAACGAATGTCTTAAGAAACTAAATACCCATCATATTAAGCAACTGAAAGTTATCTCAGTAATATTCACAGACTACCATATTGATAATTATCATGTCCCCATTAGTAACTAATTTCAACAAGGTAATTCCAGAATTCTAATGAGAAGCTGTGACGACGAGTTCGAACGTGTCGGGTGTGAGGCAATTATGCACCAAAGACAATAAAAGTTAGTTGGGGTATATCACGAATTGGTTGACGTTAAATATGTATACCATTGGATGCCAGTCTAGTTGGTTTATAGGTTAGGCGTTCGCCGCGAGCTGTGGTCTTGTGTCCGACCCTCGATGGAGTCATGAATATGCACTAACGAGGAGTCTCATACTAAGACGAAACACCTGTGTAGTTTTTCATGGTTTCCAATGATTGTATAACTTAGATCGGTTCGCAAGTTCTGTAATCTCCAGAAACTGTTAATATCCTAATCGTGTTCGTTCGTCCCGTTTAACGCTGTAACTTTTTAACTGATTTATTATGATTTTTTAACAGTATGTTATCTTTTATTTTTACAGGGTAAACACAAGAAGAAAAAACGACGCTTCAAACTTCCCTCATTTTCTTTAAAACCTAAAGACAAATCAAAGAGTAAATAACAAGCTATCTCGTTTGTGTATGAATAACTACCAGCTGATTTGCATTACGGTTCACAATTTCGCATCACATCGTCGTTAATCCTAGAAGATATTGATATATATAATTAGTAATTTCGCTTACATTCTGCAAACACATTTGAGAAATCATTCCTCTATTGTTAAATGTTTCTAAAAACTTAACAGAACATCTTTAAAGTGTGATGCGATGTGTGGCTGTGCCTTAAATTTCCACATGATTACTTGATGCAAATTCTTTAACCCTAATGGGATGATGACTAGGGGACTATTTTGATTTTAAAAGATGTGTGTAATAACTATTGTTGACTTGTAAGTACAAGCACATAATAATTGGGTATATTTAAATTATTATGATTATCTTTTTCCGATTGTGTTTCTCCCTGTTTCCCTTCATCATATGGACGTTTCACAAGGTAGTAGAATAGACGATGAAAAGCCGTCTTGTTTTATTGAATCTTTTTTTGAATTCGCCTGTTCGTTGATATTGTTATTATTTCAGCTAATTAATATGCTTCGCTTTCCCTTGAAAAAATGACACAGTGTTTTGTTTAGGATATTTGATTTTGGAAGTAATGTATCACTAGTTCACTTCCCCTTCCACCTGCTGTTCTGATTTAATCCCACTCCCAGCTTACTATAATGCTAACAATTTTTAAAATCATATGTAAAGTATTATTCTCTTGATTTTCGACGATATTTAATGTTGTCACCATCCACATTCTATTTCTCATATTTTCTTAATTCCTGCACTGCACTACTCCGTCCATATTTTCTTATACATATATCTGTCAATGAGCCGGTAATTACAGTTACCTGTTTTTTCAGTTGATATGAATCAAACAAAAATCTTAGATTTTTTTGTAGCATTTGGGGACTCAATTTTCCATTTCCCTAAAAATCGACTTATATGCTTCTTACTGTCCACTAATGTCTGTTGCCTTACGTTATTCAATATTTTTTTCGCATCATTTTGTTTTACGTGTATAGTTGTTGACATTGCCAAGTTCACGTGTTTTCCCTCTTGCTACTTAGTTCGATACATATAATTTTATGCTTTTTAAGTATATGCTCCATTTAATAAATCATATTACATAAATAAGCTTTTGAATAAACATCCCTTTCTTATCTGTGCTTATGCATAACCTGAAATCCTGATTTTCACTTCTTTATTTTTCGTTTTAATTTTACGCCAAATTATTTCCTCTGAATTGTTCTTTTCGCGGTTCTTTAAACCTGAGACCCTGCAATTGTCCCACTAATATACATATATTTGATGAGTAATAAAGTCTTCTGTTTTTTACCATCTTCCTAAATATTGTTCAGTAGTAGGCGTTGTTCACTTTCATTACTTATATTGCTTTTCTTTTCTCCCACAGCTTCCTTGTCAGTCACTGGATAACTACAAGTTGTAGTAAATAATGTTTCGTTAGTGTAAAATAATGTTTAGTTATATTCATTCCTATTTGCTGTAGAATTCTCCACGAAACCCTCGTTTCACTATTGTTTTTCTAACACGAAGCTCATAAATGAGTATCAACTTTTACGCCTACTAATAGTTTTTGGTGGTTCCTGCTTTTTTAGCTCCACTCGTATTTTGCACATTTGTTGATAAGTATGAAAGTGGAGAGGAACTTGGTTAATCAAAAGGTTCTACACTTATTCTGTCATGTAGCTATTACTTATCGTTCATGTTGGGATATTTTGTTGAGTACTCAGAGAGTTGTTGTAACAACTACTAACATAGAAAATCTGGCTTCTGGTTTTAGTACACAGACTTCTTGAAATCTGTTATTCACAATTTAGGCTGAGTTTAAAATCTTGGAGCGATTTATTGTTAAGTTAACGGAATATACTCATTTTAAAAAAATGACAAAAATTGGTTCAGCGAAGAGCTTTTTTTCGTTGATTTCATTTTCAATGCTGCACGATTGCAAATATATACTTAATTTCCGAAATGGTATTAATTACAGCAATAGTGGTATCAGAATCCTGCTAAACATGGTAACAATGAGGTAGAATAAACAAAGGTGATAAAAACGTTATTTTTATTAAGGAAGCTAATTATAATTTTGTTGTTGAGGGGTTGAATATTGATCATGAAGATAAATACGAAAATTATAATTAGTAAGGAAAGGTTCAGCGTGATAAGATGAAATATTGTTACCATGTTTAGCAGGATTTTATTATAACTTATTGTGATTATTGTCATTCGTAAATATCTGAGTTTATCCGCTGAGAGTGCATAATACTTTCTATTCTTAGTTGTAGTAATTAAACTCAAAGCCTGTGTACATGTTTTTTAGAAACTCGACCATCTATATTTTACTTAAAAAACTCGTCAGTGCGACGGTAGATATGTGCATTTTCGCCTTTTCACTGAGATTATTTATTTGTTTATTTTCTGTATGATCAAGCTGGTATTTATTAAAAACGATAAGCAGTACAGTTTAAATTTGTTTGTTTATGAATAATAAAGATTATTATTCGTATGATATTTTTTCTTAAATCTCAAGTATTTAGTGATACGATTACACAAGCTTATGTAAGTACTATTGGATTATATAACGCGTTCTATGTTCTGACATTGGCTCATCATGATTTCCAAAATTTATCCATGTAACTCATTCGATAGATGAAGTCGTATGATATAGCTAGAAATTAATCTCATTTTCTGTTTCTTGTTTTTTCCCCATATGGAGATCTGAATATATTTTATGATTGTTTACTACATATCAATTATTGTATTTTCAATGGTTTATTCGGTGTTCTATGTGTTTGAATTTTTCATTTTTTTTAAAGTCATTAATTTCAGCCTACTGATCTTATCAAGGTTTTTTTGTACAATCGATTACTGATAAATTTAAAACTTTTCTCAGTAGCTACATTATTAAGAGAGGAAGTTAATGTTTTACAACTGGCGTATTCACTTAGACACCTAAAATTGAGGTCATTGGATTTAATTGATTAAATCATTGTCATAATGATGCACTACAAAATGCTATTATGCTTTATGTATTTGTACACTCTAAACATATACATGTTTGTTAGGGTACAAGTTGTAGCGTTTATTATTTTTGAATTATTATCAAGGAAATAAAATTCCATTAAAATAGATTTTGTAGCGATCTCGAGTTATATAAGGAAAAGGGCCACACTTTGATACATTTGTAACTAAATTTTCTCACAAAGTTGAATAATATGGTTAAACGTTACTGAAACCAAAAAACAAGCCGATGTAAGTTTTGCGTAAATACCTACACTAAGAAGTGATGTATTTTTGAAATAATTCTCAAAAATAAACTTGGCAAAGAATGACTTCTAATAATACGCCGAAATTCCATAAATTACAATACAGGCAATTATGGTCGATCATATTACTGCTCAATTCTCAACCAGGTGTTGTATTTCTGGATGAAAAGTGCTGAAGACTTGTCTATATTTTAAATACTTCCGAGCTGTTGTTAAGATTTCACATTATCAGCGAATGCTGCAAAATCTGTTGGTTATTCATATCAATGTTTTATGCGCCAACCTTAGAATATGCATCCTAAATGAATATACTTTTCAATGAAACTTCTGTGTGGAAAATATTTCTTGAACCATTTATATCAGTAGGTGATCAGTAATCGTTTCTCCGAGTTACTCTTTCATGTATGTAAATCAGTATCATAAATTCGACATCACACGTTTAAACTATCGTTAGTCGTTATTCATGTGTAACTTTTACATGACCTTATTAACTTACTGAGATTATTAGTGACGTGCATTCAACAAATTGATCATAGGATGCACAATATTTCCACACAAGCGTATACACAAGGCTACATGGATCTCACCGGACCACACTACAGAGAACCAAATAGATCATATTTGCATCAACAAAAAATTCCGAAGGACAATGGAAGATGTGAGAACCAGGAGAGGTGCTGACGTAGCTTCAGATCACCACCTAGTTGTAGCCAATTTAAAACTGAAGCTAAAAAAGAATTGGACAAGTGGACAAACAGCAATACAAAGGTTCAATACAGCCTTCCTTCGAGATACTGACAAACTCAATGAATTCAAGATAGCTCTCAACAACAGGTTCCAAGCCTTACAAGATCTACTGAAAGAAGAAGAAACTACTATGGAGGACAACTGGAAAGGCATCAAGGAAGCATTAACTTCAACGTGTCAAGAGGTTCTCGGTCTAAAGAAATACCATCATAAGGAATGGATTTCTACAGAAACACTGGACAAGATCAAAGAAAGGAAGAACAAGAAGGCAGTAATAAACAACAGCCGAACACGAGCAGAGAAAGTCCAAGCACAAGCTGAATACATAAAAGCAAACAAACAAGTGAAGAGGAGCATTAGAGCCGACAGGAAGAAATACGTGGAAGAATTAGCAACGACGGCAGAAAAAGCTGCTAGAGAAGGAAATATGAAACAGCTTCACGATACAACGAAGAAACTAGCAGGGAAATACAGTAAACCAGAGAGGTCGGTCAAAGACAAAGAAGGCAGGAAAATCACAGAAATTCAACAACAGCGTAACAGATGGGTAGAATACTTCGAGGAACTCCTGAATAGGCCAGCTCCAATGAATCCACCGGACATCGAAGCAGCACACATAGATCTTCCTATAGATGTCAATACACCAACTACGGAAGAAATTAGAATGGCCGTCAGACAAATCAAGAACGGGAAAGCAACAGGACCCGACAACATACCAGCTAAAGCACTGAAATCAGACATCGAAGCAACCACAAGCATCCTTTATCTTCTATTCAAAAAGATTTGGGAGGAGGAACAAGTGCCGATGGACTGGAAAGAAGGATACCTCGTCAAGATCCCAAAGAAAGGAGATCTGAGCAAATGTGAAAACTACAGAGGCATTACACTACTGTCAATACCAGGGAAAGTCTTCAACAGGGTGTTGCTGAACCGGATGAAGGATGCAGTAGACGCCCAACTTCGAGATCAACAAGCTGTATTCCGTAAGGATCGGGCGTGCGCAGACCAAATTGCAACACTACGGATGATCGTCGAACAATCAGTTGAGTGGAACTCATCACTATACATCAACTTCATTGATTATGAAAAGGCGTTCGACAGTGAAGATAGGAGGACATTATGGAAACTTCTTCGACACTACGGAGTTCCTGAGAAAATTGTCAATATTATCCGGAACTCATACGACGGACTACAGTGCAAAGTAGTGCATGGTGGACAGCTGACAAATGCATTCCAAGTAAGGACCGGAGTCAGACAAGGCTGTTTACTCTCTCCCTTCCTCTTTCTTCTGGTGGTCGACTGGATTATGAAGACCTCAACATCTGAAGGAAAACACGGAATACAATGGACAGCTCAGAACCAATTAGACGATTTGGACTTCGCAGATGACCTAGCCCTCCTATCACGTACACACGAACAGATGCAGATGAAGACAGCCAGTGTAGCAGCAGTCTCTGCATCAGTAGGCCTCAGCATACACAAAGGGAAAACTAAGGTCCTCAAATTCAAAGCGGAGAACATCAATCCAATCACACTTGATGGCGAAACTCTGGAAGATGTAGAGTCCTTCACATACCTGGGAAGCATCATCGATGAACAAGGAGGATCCGATGCAGACGTAAAGGCGAGGATCGGCAAAGCAAGGGTCGCATTCCTACAATTGAAGAACATATGGAACTCAAAACAACTTTCAACCAATATCAAAGTGAGAATCTTCAATACGAACGTCAAGGCAGTTCTACTGTATGGAGCTGAAACTTGGAGAACTACAACGACCACAATCAAGAAAGTACAAGTATTTATAAATAGCTGTCTACGCAAGATACTTAACATCCATTGGCCGGATACCATCAGCAATAGCCTTCTGTGGGAGAGAACAAACCAACTTCCAGCTGAAGAAGAAATTAGGAAAAGACGATGGAAATGGATAGGACATACATTACGCAAATCGTCAAACTGCATCACGAGGCAAGCCCTAACTTGGAATCCTGAAGGGAAGCGAAAAAGAGGAAGACCAAAGAACACATTGCGTCGGATAATAGAAGCAGATATGAAAACGATGAATTACAACTGGACGGAGCTAGAAAGGATTGCCCAGGACAGGGTTGGATGGAGAATGCTGGTGAGCGGCCTATGCTCCTTCACGAGGAGTAACAGGCGTAAGTAAGTAAGTAAGTAAGTACTGAATTTGATCATTCCGAACTGGTATCAAATACATTCTTTGTTTATCGGTAGATGTTCAAGTTTATCCAACTGTATGGTCAGAGATGTTTTCATATCTG